CTGGGCTTCAAAGGGGTTGGTGATCTGTTGGGAGGATGAATTAATGCATACTTGGGAAAAGTTCAACAGTGCAAGGTGTTGTGTGGTTAAAAAGTGTATCTTTTACTGTGACCACTCTGGCTGGGTATTCTGCTGCCAACTTCAGACTCAGCCATGTCTCCATTTCAGTTCCCAATATCATAGTTTTCCCTGTCAGGGTCGGAGCTTGTCGCATCATTTTTCTCCTCTTCCTCAAATCCATTTGCTCTCGTTTTGTCTCTTGTGTCTGCCCTTCCTTTGCAATTCCTCCTTCAGGCACCCAGACTTCTCCCTCAGCTTACTACAGCTCTGAATTATGGCATGGGGCTCCTCATCTGGTCTCCCTGGCTCCACCACCATTTTCTGCAGAACACCACTCTGTTTCTTTTCTGGTGTAGCACTTCCTGAAATAGATCGGCTTGCCTCAGAAACTGTCAGTAGTTGTCTGTGGCCTGCAGCAGGGCTTTTTGTTTGTTTGTTTGTTTGTTTTAACCTAAGGGTCCCTGATTGTAGAGTACATGCCCTTTGAAATTTGATATAAAATGTTGTAAGCACACAGCTTTTACCAGGATCACCAGCAGTCCCAAGAGCCATAAAAGATAAGAATGGCTAACTGCAGGTCATGTCCAGCTCTCTGACTTGACTGTCAAAGGCCTTCCCTTCCCAGTCTGCCTTTCTTCTCGCTGCTTTCTGCCCCAGGCCAGTGGTGCGGGGCCTGCTGTTTTCATGTTCTTGACCTCATTAGCTCTACTTGGTTTTTCCTGACTCTCACTACCCTACTACATTCATCAATTTAGAAAACAACTTCGTAAATACACTCTCCTGTGAAAATTCCTTCTGCTTTCTTGCCTTAGTTCACCCATTCTCTCTTAATTCTTTCTGATGCTTTCTCTTTCAGTGCCCAGCTGGCAAATCCTAGCAATTCCTTCCTTGGCCACTTTGTTTCAAAGTGATTTCTTTTCTTCCTAAACATATTAAGCTCTCCAGTTTTTGCCATTCATTTGGTACATTGCCTTGAATTGTTAAATACATGCTTAACTCCTTGTATTTAATCTCTTATAATATATATAACCTTACATGTCATAGTAAAGAAGGAATTATTTTCCAAATTTATCTGAAATATTTAAAAAGATAAAAATTAAACCTAACATCTCCTTTAAGAATTATATTCACTTACTCTTTCCTGAACAGATTTCTCAATTAATATTTTTGTTATCTTCATTGTCAGTTTTATCTTTTTTTTTTTTTTTTTTT